CTAACCGTACTTTTTACATATCTCTCTCTATATCCCCCCCCCCTCTCTCGTTCTCTCTCTCTCTTACTCTCCCTCAGCCTTCTTTCACTCTCAACCTCACTATCTCACTATCTCTCTCTCTCTCTCTCTCTCTTTCTCTCTCTCTCTCTTTCTTTCTGTCTCTTTCTTTCTTTCTCTCTCTCTCTCACTCTCTTTGATTTTTTTCTTAATTTTTTGGAAGATTTTGATTGACACACAAATAAATGTTCTGATGAAATGATGTTTTTTTTGTGTGTGCAAAATCTGAGAGCTTTTCCTTGTCAGAAAAAGTCACAGAAACAAGATGCTTGCATACCAATAGGACATCCAATGTCCATTTCTACACTTACACGATTTTTACAACCCTTTCAAATATGACAGATTGGTCAAAATAATATATAATGTAATTATTAATCGCTAAAATTTGAGGAGGCATGGTGCCGTAACTACCACATTCAAAATTATTCTGACAGACTTTGGTATTTTTTAAAACTTCATCTTTAGCAAATTGTAAAAGTTTATGACCATTTTTGTTATGATTCACAATTTTTGTGAATCAAGATTCAAGAACAAGTGGTGACCTTTCGGAAAAGGTTCTTCAATGTGCATGAAGCAAAACTGAACATTCTAAGAATCTGGTTGAATATATTTACGTCTATGCAGACATATTCGAGACAAAGCCTTATCTGCCAGAGGCTATTATATGCTTAAAAGACCAGGAAAAGGCATTACCATGGCAAAACTGAATGATTCAATAGTTTTCAAAAGTTGATATTCATGTGTGCCACGACGAAGTAATCGTTTGATGGTGGATATGGAAAATAATGCGACATAGTGAATCGAGAAGCTTTGAAAGCGGTTATTTAACCTACAAAAATGTTTAATATTTTTTTCTAAAGGCTTCCAACCTTCCAATAAATCGATACATCGCATAAGAGCATATTATATGCTTGTACCTGTAATTCTGTGGACATATTAAAAGGAATCCTTCCTTCTTGAAGCAAATTGCGGCTTTCCCCGTACGTTCTAATAACTCGATACCAGTAGTGAATTGCGGGGCGGAAGGGGGTACGCACATGGGGCAATGCCCTCTCAAAAGAAAAAACCGATACACATTTGGTAAAATGATAACAATAATAAAAATACTCCCTCATTTTACCCATCGCGACAGCATTTACTCATGGTGCCGAAAGGCCTTGGTTTCGAACCCATGAGTAACTCCCGGAGAGAAGACCATTGCTTTACTACTGAGCGACTCTGCCTCCATCATCACCCCTCCATCTCCATACCTCTGTCAATCCTTTACAAGACGAATATTGGCTGCAAAGCCTGAGGAAGGACTCCAAAGAATTATCTCCCAGATTATCATTGAGCATGCACATTTTAATATGGTTCCAATAAATAATACAGTCGTTTGATGCGCAACATTGCAAAAACATAATTATGTATGCCGAACTATTTCCTCTTCAAAAATGCTGCCCGCGTTCTCTCTCTCTCTCTCTCTCTCTCTCTCTCTCTCTCTCTCTCTCTCTCTTTCTCTCTCTCTTTCTTCTCTCTCTGGCTGCAAAGTCCGAAGAAAGACTCCAAAGAATTATCTTCCAGATTATCATTAAGAACATTTTGAATAGGTTGCAATAAATATTACAGTCGTTTGATGCGCAACATTGCAAAAACATAATTATGTATGCCGAACTATTTCCTCTTCAAAAATGCTCCCCGCGTTCTCTCTCTCTCTCTCTCTCTCTCTCTCTCTCTCTCTCTCTCTCTCTCTCTTTCTTTCTCTCTCTGGCTGCAAAGTCCGAAGAAAGACTCCAAAGAATTATCTTCCAGATTATCATTAAGAACATTTTGAATAGGTTGCAATAAATATTACAGTCGTTTGATGCGCAACATTGCAAAAACATAATTATGTATGCCGAACTATTTCCTCTTCAAAAATGCTCCCCGCGTTCTCTCTCTCTCTCTCTCTCTCTCTCTCTCTCTCTCTCTCTCTCTCTCTCTCTCTCTCTCTCTCTCTTTCTTCTCTCTCTGGCTGCAAAGTCCGAAGAAAGACTCCAAAGAATTATCTTCCAGATTATCATTAGGAACATTTTGAATAGGTTCCAATAAATATACAGTCGTTTGATGCGCAACATTCACAAAATATTCATGTATGCCGAACTAGTTCCTCTTAACAAAAATGTTAACTCCCCGCTTTCTCTCTCTCTCTCTCTCTCTCTCTCTCTCTCTCTCTCTCTCTCTCTCTCTCTCCATAGCCTCAGGATTTTTGCTCTTTATACTCATGTATAATGTGTAATTCCTTGCATCCTAGATCAAAAGATAATGCACAAAAAGTTCTTTAAAAGTTGACCCTGTACTGATATAGGTTAAAGATAAAGTTGAATTCTGGTAATGCGGTTGCATTGTGAAAGAAAAAGGTGTGGAATGGATCAGAAAAAGTTTGTCATGTAGCATGTAAGTATTGGTGTGTACTGCAAGGTTCTGGAGTCATCAAAACCATAATAAATTTGACCCAGTCTTGGTAAAGTAACAAGCACTGTACACAGAAAGATGTATATGGGACAACACACATGGTGTCGGGGCTACTAACCTTGATTTCCTTATCTTTCTATGCTCACTGCTCAGCCAGTATACATTTTCTACCAAAATTGTTTGGCACATGTCATTTATTTGTACTCTTGAACATTCAGTGTAAGTTTCGTTTGATTCTGTGAGAATTCTTTTCTTTAAAAAAAAAAAACAGAACTCAAGTTTACCTTTAATGCTTGACTCGACCGATTTTTGCTGCAAAGTCTTGGAAAGGAATCGGTATTCAGTATGATCTCCCAGCGGATCATTAAATACATTTGAATGTTTCAACGGGCATCCATTAAATCGATGCACCTTGAAGAAGTTGTCATGTGGAACGCTTTTCACACTAGAATTACGCTTCTTGAAGTGGCCCCTCGTCTATGCTCTCTCCTCTCTCACTCATCCTCTCCCTACCCCCTCCCATGTACATGTTTATTGTTCCTTCCTCTGCTCTGCTCTGTTTCTGAAACTCCTTTTCTCTGCCATCCCTGTCCTTCCTCTCTCTCCATCGCCCACACCTCCCCACTTTTTTTCTCTCTCTCTCTTTCCATTTATCATCTATATGTATTTTGAGTTTTTCACCTCCATCTTTTACCGCTAAGCTTATCTATAAGCTCCATTATGATTGCTCTTTCTCTCTCTCTCTCTCTCTCTCTCTCACTCTATCTCTGCTCCCCTCTCTTTCCTATCTCAGTAACCCAGTAACTCATTAGAATCCTTCGAGACATGGATATTAGCTATTAATCCGCTATGCTCCCTGATAAAAACCCTGCTCATGCAGAAGGGGGGAAAAAAAGCAGTAAACTGTCTCATAGAAAGAGCTACCATAAATAAAATGGCACAAGCGCTTTGCCTAATGCGTGTCAAAAATCGTACGACATTCAGAAAACCAAGTATGCTCAGGACACTTTTTCATTTACCCCACTTGTTATCAATTTACACATAAAATATTTTCTTAAAGGTATAGACCAGTTTTGGAACGCCCCCCTCTCAAAAAATGAAATGGAAGCTCTTCTAACCAAACATGTGAAAAAATATGTTTTGACTAATACGTGATGATACAAACCGCCTACTAATTGATATATATGTGTTAAATTATCATATCGATCCGCCCTGGATAGATATTGCGAATGCACTTCAACATTGAACATTTGGGCATATATTTCTGTTTTTTGCGAATTCAGGTTGAAGTATTACCATCTAAACCTCTGAAGGCAATATTTAAACAATATTGAATGGATATTTTTGCACCCAATACCCTTGAACCGCAATTTAACCACTACCGGTCTATATCTTTAAGTTGCTATGGCATCCTTTTCCCTCCTTGCAGCATGGTTTAATTTACTCCAATTTAATCTCATCTAAATGTAGCTACACGTTTTCCAGAACATCTTCAACAAGAATAAATATAATACATCGTTTGATCTGGCCCCAAGCAGACAAAATAAATACACCAATACTCCTTCTATTTTCATACTTCCCAGTATCTTTTTAATACCATCATCTGATGTTCCATCCATCCATCTCCTCCTCAGCAATGGACGCAGACCAGACTGATAAATCTTTACATGCCTCTCGTAATAAACAAAACCTCTACCTATACATAGTTATATGCAATGTTCCCATAAACCCAGTGAAAAAATGTAACATGGTGGTACATAATGAAATAAACAAACTCTTTACTTACAGGCAATATTCTCATAAATATTCAATGGTCCATTGTTGTACATTTCCACAAAAGCGGGTATACGAATTCAACGAACAGAAGAGGAAAGTTGAGATGCAGTTTAGGAAAGACTCTTCTCGATTTAAGCACGATATCCTGGATGAATTTTGTAAAGGAGGGCCAGGAATATCTTGCTTGATTTGTGAAGTAGCCTCCTAATATTTTAGATATAAAATGCTCGGGTAATAAAACAGATCATCAACTCTCCGCAAGAAGGCCGTAATAGCTCTATTTGTTCAATGGCAGATACGACCTTCTTGCAGCAATCACTGTAAATTGTTAAGCTCACCGGACACTATACGATCAGCCTACAAACCGATGTTGGAAGTATCTCCAAAAGCTTTTGATATGAACATTCTAACTTCTAAAATCTCAATGATCGATGATTTGAATAGTCATAGCCGCGGATAACCCAAAATGAACTTTCAATGGATTTTCAAGCTTCCTTGGAAGAGTAATAGCTAATCGGCTCAGAATAGTAGTTCTTGACATCATAACAGTAGTGAAATTATCTACGATTTTAAGCCAATTTAGCATTTATTCTGACTAGAATGCTTAAATGCACTCAAATTCTTTTGTTGGCATTCTTACCATTATTTAGAACCTACATCAAAAGCATGTTTGTTTAGATTTCAAAATCTAATATCATTCCTGTTTCTTCGAAAGTCGGATCACAGGAAGATCGTATAGTATGCGGTGGGCTTTATTGTGTACATTTAAAAAATACCCTACCATGAGGAATATCCATAACATTTACATATCTGTATACATTAATTGTTCTCTATAAGTACAGTCTTCCTACAAATTTAGTGCAAAAATATCATCAGAATACAATCTGTGTTGGTTTTTTTTCAAACCAGATTCCTTTTCTTTTTTTTGAATTTCATATCTACTCACTACAGTACAAGTTTACCTACTTAAAAAATATCTGTAGTGCAAGATTACTGTATATTTCCAGGACTCTAATCCTTACTTATGTCTATAACTTCTGTTTAATCATATTTTTTTCAAAGCAATATCTTGAGAAACAACTGGATGTCACTGTTTCCGGATCAGTTAATACTCAACAGATCAAAATTTGAATTATACCATACCCATAAAAAAAAAATGATATATCCATTAATGAGGGAAATATTGAAAGCTGCATGGCTTATATCAATATGTATCATGCCCATTTGTGCTGAAATGCATGATAGAACTTTCAGAATATGTTCTTCATCATTCGCTAGAAAAATAAGAGAGTTAAGCGAAAGAATACCTCAAAAGGGAGAAAAATATTACCCACAATTTCAGGAAATACATTGTAGATGCAAGTTAGATTTTGACAATAAGGTAACAATGGTTTCTTTTTCTTGAAAAGTGCCTTTTCTGTTACAACAAAGCGGCTACAGTATCATTACCAAATATACGGAGTTCATTTAGGATTACCTTGTTTTTAATATTTGTGACAGGTCTCAAGAATTAAGTACATGAAAAGGAGATGAATTGAGACACAGCCCAGTCCTATTTTTACTACTTTGTGGTATTGATTAATAAACATATTTGTCTAGTGGAACACTTTTGGAATGTAAGTCTCAAAATGTGAGATACAAATAATTGAAACATCTAACGATGGGATCAAGACTCACATTAACATTGATAATTATAATACGATTGTTTGGTCACAATTAAATGAGAGGGGGGGGGGGTGTTCAATTGTTAGGTCAAAATTAAAGGAATGAGGTGTTTGACATCTTAATCTTTTTGGTTATATCAATTCTACAGATTGTTGATGTTAGGTTTGGTCCTACTCATTGCCTAGGGTACTTTAAACTTGAATTTTATGTTAATCTAAACTTCGCTGAAAAGTGTTTAGTATTTACCTCACGATCTCTTGCGAAACCTTTATCAAAACGACCAAAAATGAAAAAAAGTGAATTAAAAAATGACAAACATATGCACTGATTTGGCACGGAACTAAATTGTCTTGCTTTGAGGGCAAATTCAAATTAACAAGAGTGTCTTTGAAATCAATTTCTTGGCTTTTTGGTTGGGTAAAACTCTTCAAATCAAAACGACAGTGGTCAGCTTGTGGACTTACTTGGCTTATTCATTATTTCATAATCTAACATCTACATTGCTTCAAATATTGTAAAATCAATATCTGGCTCAGTATAGTAGAATTGTGCTGTACATTAGATTCAGTGCACTTTACATTTTTGCAGCTAACAATTTACATGTAATATGGTTTCATATCAGGTAGCTCAATCATTTGTTGCTTTGAAAATTTGAGTAAAACAGGAGCATATGGTATTTGCTACAATAGTGAATGAATCACTGCTCAGAGTACAACCAATCATTAAAACTTAAAATTGTTCCTAATTTTCTGCATTCTACCTGCAGCATGTATTATCAAATATAGTGATTTCAATTGTACAGCCAGTGAAAGATACCGTGGGCTTTAAAAACCTAAAATCTTTCCTTATTGCATTTCTTCTTATTAAGTACACAAATTCATTGAATACAATATTCATGGCCTTTCCAGTAAAAATCAAAGACAGGTAAAAATTCATATTTTTAGAGTTGATCAGACGATGCTGATTTCTCTAAAAGGCCCTTTAAAGGCCTTTCATAATACTCTGCACATTACTTTTCTTGAATGTGTGCCCCTTATACACTGTACACTGTAAGTAAATAAATATACATGTAATTCAATACATGGGAATATACATGGACATATAAAAATGAATTATGCTTCAAGTTTATGAATAAATCTGAACATTTTATAACTATCAAACCATACGATAAGTAAATTGAGATGTTGAATGAATTTCAAAATGAAGGGATTTTGGTAATGATGTTCCAGTAACATGCATTTATGTATTTAAATCGTCACTGATATTAATTACAATGAATTTTGTTCGGACTAAAACTACCAAGCAGTATTCAAATGACAATGTATTGTCGTTCCATTTCTGATTTATATCTGTAAATGCGAAGGACTTAAAGTGTTGGAATTAAATTGGAAAGACTTTTTTTTTCGTAAAAAAGTATCAGCCTGCATATTTTTGGAGAAGGGAATACCGTGGCTCTTTTAGCAGCAAGAGACATTGATTGTAATGATAAATATCTGACCAACCTACAAACTAATTGCGCCTCTGGCTTCCATCGGTATTGTCAGTGAAAGATTAACCGAAACTATTCATGGGTTCTAATTCTTGCTCCTGAATACAGAATGCATGCATCTCTCCATGTTAGTCATCAAATCTTTCTCAATAACATATCCATGACCAGGGAACCGTTTCACAAAACTTGTCATCAGTGACAAATGACAGTTTTTGTTATTAGCTACTGAAATCCTTGCTTCTGATTGGTTATCAAGCAGATATGTCACTGATTTTTGCCATTTGTCATTGAGAAAAGGCTTTGTGAAACAGGTCCCAAATTGTGAGTAAGCAGGGAAATACCGTAGTAACTACTAATGTCTTTAAGCAGAGGTATCTAAACTATAGCTAGGTAAATATTACACAAAATGGATATGGGGGGAATCAGTGGGAAATAACATACTAAATAGAAGGAAAACAAATAATCTTCAGAGCCTGTGCAAAATTATTCATAAATGCATTTAAAACATAAAAAGGAATAAATCTGTGAATATAATACCCTTTTGTATGCAAGTAACTCAAGAATTACAAAAATAGAATTGAGAATATAATATGCTTAGAACTTATAACGAAAGAAACAATATGTCACATGATTCAACTCATAATATATATTTTCCACTATAGGGAATTTCTTTAAAACATTGCAAAAAAATATTAAACTTTTTGAGCTGAATGACTGCAGTTGCAGCTCCACTCATGCTGCTGAAAACATACGATACAATGAAATAAATCTCTCTTGAAAGACATTTTAAAAAGACATGATGAGATGGAGCATTTTGCGGAAGCATCAGGAACTTTTCTGTCATCGAAAGGAATCATATTCTTAAAAAAACATGAAATTATTACTGTCAACAGAACATAAAATTATTACTCTTTAAAAACTTCACTGTTTCAAGTTTTAGTACATTGCCCCTTTGTCACACAAGTGTGAATGTATCAGAGATCCTTTTTTTCACAAAACTTGTCAGTGGCAAATGAGAGTTTTTGTTATAAGCTACTGAAATCCTTGCTTCTGATTGGTTGTCATTTGTTGATTTTTGTCATTTGTCATTGAAAAAAAGCTTTGTGAAACGGGTCCCTGGATTCTTTTCCTCAGATCACCCAGTGGGTGATCCCTCCCAGGTCCACAGGAGAACCAGTCTTGCTGTCGTTGAGTCCTGACTAATATTACCCACTGCTTGATCCATGTCCGGTTTCAACCGCGACAATGCAGGCTGATCAATGGAATGTTCTACCTTGAGTATGAGCAAGGACTCACACACTTCTGGGCTATTTGCCATGCTTCCAGTGATACCAACAAAGGAGGAGATGAGGAACGTTGGTCTCGTCAACTGAACAGATTCAACATGAATTGCAAAGCCTCCATCAGTTGTATAGGCTACTGATGCATTACTGTACAGTTACTTTTGTGCACACTTAAAATTATGACTTTCTTGTAGATACAAACCCCATCTATTTCTTCCCATTCTCAGTATCCTCTGGGTGTTGTCTTGTTTGCGGAAGCTCCGAAAACTATCCATTGAAGACATTTCCATGCAACAGAGGATCGTTAAACAATGATGCGCGAATATTAATCAACTAGTTGGGTTTATTTGGCAATGTCTACACACTATTGAAGTCTGGATTCAGTCCCTGGTACGTGTACTTGAATTGGTGACAGTCCACGAACATGATAAACATGGCGATAATGGCTCTTTTTACGTTCATCAGCTATTACAATTACATACGTGTGAGCAACTTGATTTATGACAAATTATCATTCCAATACTCGTCCTTAGGAATAGGAGACATGTGCTAAGCAAAACATTGCTACAGCCACATGCCAAGTTCTGGCCAGACTCTTAGCTTCAGTCCCACATGCTGGTTTCCGCATTGTTCTACAAAACAAAGTCCAGGAGAACACGGGCGGAGCTCACTACCGGAAGATGTTGTCAAATTCTAATAAGACAAACTCCATGACTTGGTTCTGGTAGACGGTCGCCATGGCCATGTTTATGTTCTCCCGCTCGGGCCACATGAGGGTGGGGCCGAAGACCGTTGCCACGTTCTTGGCCGGCATACGGTTGTGATGGACGTTATCCATGACCCTGTCGAGGGGGGGGGGGGCGAAGATGAAGGAGAGAAAGGAAAGTTGGTGAATACATGTATTGCATTGTATTCATTTAGTAAACTTCATTGTACATCAATATTCTGTTTATAAACATATAAATCAATTTACAGTGCAATGTAACAAATCAATATTCTATTTGTAAACATATATATCATTTAAATCAATTTACAAAGTAATGTAACAAACCAATAATCAATTTACAGTGCAATGTAACAAATCAATATTCTGTTTGTAAACATTATCATTTAAATCAATTTACAATGTAATGTAACAAATCAATATTCTGTTTGGAAACATATTTATTATATAGATCAACTTACAATGCAGTGTGTACAGCAAAAAAAGAAGTAAAATCATATACAGCAGAAAAACTCTTCTTTTTCTTCTTGTATTAACATTAGGTAAACTGTTTATTGAAGACATTGCTGTACATGACTACACATTGAGATCTTTGTAAACATTGAAAATTGTTTTCATTATATTAACCCCCCCCCCCCCCCCCCCCACCCCTTTTTTTTCCGCTTGTCAGATAACCCTGGCAGGTGCTGCAAGAATTCTCAATGAAAATACACCCTTAAAATGTAAGGGCGTCGTTTGTCTTTTTGTTTCTGTTTTTGTTCCTTGTTTGTCTCTCTCTCGCTCTCTCTTAATGCTGGACATGCTGCTAGGTGACACTTTTTGTTTTTCTCTCCTGCTCGTCAAAAAATAAAGGGAGTGATGTGAGAAATGTGACGTGAAGAAAAAAAATGCCCTGAAAATCTAAGTGCTTTTGCCCCCTCCATTTTACAAGTTTGTCAAGTTATCCCTGGGGGGGGGGGGGGGGGGGCTGTAAGAATTTAAAAAAAAAAAGACCCTAAAATATAGTAGGTAGTTGTTATTTAATTGGGGGGAGGGGAAGTTTTTTTTTATTGTTGTTGATGTTGTTTTTTATTTTGTTGGTGTTGGCATTGTTGTTGTTGTTGTTTGATGTGTTGCTTTCAGAAAAGTTTGAAGTCACAAGGCACCGGGCCCTGAGCATCCCAGGTGAAAAAAGTTCTTCCCAATCGCTAGCTAGAAACCAGGGGAGTGTTTTACGAAGACTAAGATCGACTTTAAGTTGGACTTAACTATGGCAGGCCATTCATGCCACGGGTTGCTCTCACCATTGGTTTCTTAATTATGATCTTTAGATAATATTTTTTCCTTCAATAATGAACTGTGAAAAAAGCTTAATTCTGTAGATGTGTGACCATGATTTGAACGTCCCTTGAGAGACCATTGCCAGTAAATGATGAGAGCAAACAGTGGCATGAATGGCCTGCCATAGTTAAGTCCAACTTAAAGTTGATCTTGGTCTTTGTGAAACACTCCCTAGGATTCCATTTCATGTGGCCTTCTCGGATTCATCTAGTCCTACCTTTTGAGATGCGAGAAGAGGGCAAAGATGGTATCTTGGTTCACGCGAGGCATCTCGCCAAACAGCTCTCGGAATGCTAAGATCTTCTGATCAGTACCAGGTATTTGATCTGTGGAACAATGGAATATGAATGTTACCAACAGAAGATGGGAAATATACACATACATGTATTTCATTATATATCATGGGTTAGAATCTAAAAGTATGCTCAAATCTTCGATCTAAACTAGGTATTTGATCTGTGGAACAATGGTTTATTAATGTTTACTAACAGAAGATGGGAAAATATACAAAGGTCTCAAAGTGAAGGCGGAGTTGAGTTTAGGTTTAACTATGAGTAAGAGTTATCTCAAACTAGGGTTATTGATGGATATTATAAACTTGTCAATGGTCTCAAAGTGAAGGCAGGTTTGAGTTTGGGCTTGACTTTGATTATGAATTAACTCAAAGCTGCAATGATAACTATAAACCTTTAGATCAGTCAGAAACCCCATGACTTTTACAAGCCGATCGCCTGTCTGTTTATCAAGATATTTATGATTGGAAATCGAAACCAAATTTGAAACCAGTATGGTAAAACCGGTCACTCAAAGATTTAAATTTTTTGAGGCACTTCTTTATCATTTTGAAGCGCAATTTTTTTTAAAAGGATTCATATCAAAGACATTGATAACACGCAGGGCCGTGCATCTCAGATTTAACATTGTTAAACGATGCCTTTAATAGACTTACTGATGGATGCTATAAACTTGTCAAAGGTGTTGAAGGTGAATAGTGGCTCCGGAAGTTCCCTGAAGTAGAGCTTGAGAGCGCCGGCTATAACATGGATGTCTTCCTTCCACGGTGATGACTCCAGATCTATGGGTTTCTCTGCAGAAAAAGAAGATGAGAAAATACAAATGTCTCATAATAAAACAAGCTAAATCAGATTCCATTCTTAAACAGTAGACTTGTGGGTGCACCATGTGAGAGAGAGAGAGAGAGAGAGAGGAGGGGGGGGGGGGGGGAGGGAGGATTGAGGAGTCCTGAAAAGGACTCTCTGTAATCTTTCTTGAGGGTTTGTAGTCCTGAAAAGGACTGTTGGTATAGTCTTGAAAAAGACTGTTGGTTATCTTTCTTAGCTTATAAGGAGAACTATAGCGCTTGGAGAGGATGAGTGGCTGGAGTGGCTCGACGTTTCGAGCAGGTTTACTATCCGTCGTCAGGAGCGATTCCATTCTATACACACAATGATCAACTTGGAATTGTATTTTCTATATGAGAGAGAGAGAGAGAGAAGTGACCTCTGACCCCTGTATAAACCACCACTCTCCAACCCTCTCTTATCAATGTACTCCCTCCAATGTTGTACAAATCATTTCTCCCAACATACTCAGCAGAGCTTAGTTTGAACAGAAGTCCAGTACAACCTCACAGAAAAAATAAGCGGTAAACCTCTTCCACTCTCTGTGTCTGTCTCTGTCTATTGTCTCTCTGGCTGTCTGTCTGTCTGTCTCTCTGTCTCTCTCTCTCCCTCTCTCTCTCTCTCTCTCTCTCTCTGCACTATGCATATTTAGTTATATAATATATTGCAAGATCAAGAAATACAAGCACACCATGCCAATGTAATTTCAATTTTACTGCAGAGGTTTTGTCAAGGCGGTTTACCAGAACTCATGCGAATGAGGCTGATGGCAAAAAAACTTTCTAGGGGTGTTGGAAAGCACCCTCTAAAGGGAAGAAGTTCTTACCTTGATCGACGAGGAAACGTAATTTCTGTATGAGAGAGAGGTTTCCGCTGACCCTGTATATCCCTCTAAAGGGAAAAAGTTCTACAATGCTTACCTTGATCGACGAGGAAACGTAATTTCTGTATGAGAGAGAGGTTTCCGCTGACCCTGTAAATACCGTCGCACTCCAGCCCTCTCTTGTCGATGCACCTGATGCACTGGTTGACGAAGCCTGGTACCGTCGTCCTCTCCTTCTCACATAACTTCCCGATGTCCTTCCCAAACACATTCTCCTCTGCAATGGATCAAAATATAAAGAGAAATGATTTGAATGGTGGTGGTTATTTTACCTGACTGCTAAGAAAGCATAAGTGCTTGTTAGTAAGCAACCAGACGGCCGACGGCTTAGGTCCTTTCCGGGGGACCTGGTAATGAGGATTACTGCAAACTCACATATATATACATACAAAGCGAGTATTAAAGGGATACTGAGCTAATGAACTTTCTGCCCTAGTATTGTTTTGTTGCACAAAAACCATCTCATGGTCAACTTGCCAACAGTGCGTAACCCAATACCTAATTCCGACTTCGCAGACAGAGGACTCGATGCAAGAACCCACAGCACAGCTAGAGAAGCAGCGAGTAACAGGACCATATTGCTACAGTCGATGCGAGATGGCACTGGAAAGGATTTTACGGTAATACAGGTATGGCAGTACATATAAAGTTGAGTTCTGGTCATGCGATTGCATTGTGAAAGAAACGATGTGGAATCGATCAGAAAGGTTGATCATCTAGCATATACATGTAAGTTTTGGTGTGTCCTGCAAGGTTCTGGAATCATCAAAATGATAAGAAATTTGGCCCAGTCTGGGTAAAATTACAAGCACTGTAAACAGTAAAGTATATGGGACTACACAAACATGTGGCATGGAAATCTGTCCCGAAATGTATGATGTTACATGCCATATTTCGAATATTAAGTCATTTGAAGAGCCATGCTTTTCAGGAAACATGTTTTATCTGATGTTCTTCCACCCTTGCACAATCCAATGATAATGCTCATAAATTAGTCTTCACCTCTTCCCAGAACTCAACCTTCTCTTTAAATTGAAGGGCTAACGAACCTTGTAAGATGCCCTTGCGTCTCAGGTCTTCTTTGTCGGGTCTCGTGAAGATGAAGTTCTTCAGTTTCTCTCTGATCCTACTGTTGCTCTTCTTCATGGGAGGGGCATCGGGAACCGGTGGTGACACTGATTTGAGGGAAAATATAAAAAAAAGAATAGACCAGTTCACGGTTAGCACATGTCCGAAATGACCACGAATATCCACAGATCTTCAAAACATGAAGAGGTTTCACTTTGTTATTTTGAAATAATCAGTCCTACAGCGATGAAGGTGCTACATAAATAGCCTTAGTTTGTTTCCCCTTCTCAAAGAATACTTCCACCTGTGTATCATGAAGTGCACTGCTTGTGCATAAATGAATAATGATTACATAACTTTCAAGAGCACGTATCCCGTATTTTGTCTTTGTGTATTTCACAATTTGGTCTGCAATGACCTTTATCTGCTCTTGCTCAGACTGCAACTATGAACTGGCTTATTTGCCATAAGATGCTGTGCCACAGAACAACAGGACAGGGTGGAGTTGGAGGTGTTGTGGATAAGTCATCCCACTGCAGGTCACAAGGTACAGGGTTCAAGTCCCGGAGCAGCACTAATGTCCTTCAACAAGATGTCTTATCTACATTTGCCACCCTCCACCCAGGTGTTTTAAATGGGGACCCAGCAGGATGCGAAAGTTAATGTGGCTGGATAAGTTAATGTGGCTGGATGAGCTAGTGTACGCTCGTAAAATGGCGACTGGCCAGTTTGATTGATTATATCTCTCTTGCTATGACATAACCATCGCCAATGGATTTTTTTTCTAAAGTGAAGACATAAAAAAAAACTTTGAGTGACCGGTTTTAACACACTCGTTTTCCCCAATAGACTGTAGTGTTATGAAAACCGTTGGGCAAACGCAAAATTTGGTTTCGTTTTCCAATCATAAATATCCTGACAATCAGGCAGGCGATCGGCTTGTAAACGTCATGGGGTTCCTGACTGACCTAAAGGTTTATAATTATGATTGCAGCATGAGCTAAATCCAGGATTTTGTTTCAGAATCTCAGACAAAGATACCGAATCCCTGTAAGAAAATATTGACTGTTCCACTTACAACCAGTTGGTGTCAGAGGCGAGGAGTTATAAAGTTCCTCGGGAATGTCGGAAGATGACCCTGTTCGACCCTGAATGTGGGAGGAAGAAAAGAATACAACAATAAATGGTCACATCAGTCATTTAGCCGCATTTTACGAACACAGGTAATGTTGAATATTTTCTTTAAATCTGCTCCTGTGGTTGGATTGCAACTTTCAGAACTAAAATGGTTTTAAAAAAAATCATATTGTAACTTTCAGGCATGTTTTATGTAATGGCTGATTCTTGTTTAATGCATGAGATTACTACATAACTCCTTTACTTTAATACTCAAACAATGTTAGAGATAGTCAAAAGAACAAAATTAATCATCCTCATCGCTTAGCATCCAATTAACCCACACTGTGGGTTTGGACATTTCATTTTCCTTATGGTCCTTCTCTAAGCCTTCCAGTCTTTAGCATCCACCTCGGTGAGGCCTGGGGCCTGTTTCATAAAACTTGTTATCAATAACAATTTACAAGCTACTATTATAAGCTACTGAAATCACGGCATCTGATTGGCCGAGAGCAAATTTGTCATTGAAATTTAGCAGTTGCTATAGATAACAAGTTTCATAAAATGGGCCCCCAGATGCTTTAAAGTTTACTAATAACGTCTCCTTCCAATTTTTGTTTTCACTTTCAGTTAAGCCAACCGAAATATTAGACTTCTTTTTTTCAAAGGTGTTTTTTCAATTTTTCTCGAAGCATCAAACAGTACGAGCAAACGTACAAAATAATTAAATTGAATTCAAATTTTATTTCAATTCAAATCCATAAAAGCACATAAGATACAGATTATATACAATATAGAAAACAGAGAACACACACAAAATGGAAACATGTCTACAAATGATGGATGCATACGTTTGACAAAGCAAGGTATACCGGTAATGAAAAACAAGATTGTTTTTATAGGTAAGTTATTAGACTTACTCCAACTGCTCCTCTGATGGCTTCAAACCATGCCTGACTAGTCATCTCATCCTCTCCCTGGACCAGGAAAATACCTTGATCGGTGGTAGACAGCTACATAGAGAGAGAGAGAGAGAGAGAGAGAGAGAGAGGGAGAGGGAGGGAGAGGGAGAGAGAGGGAGGGAGAGGGAGAGAGAGGGAGGGAGAGGGAGAGAGAGGGAGAGAGAGGGAGAGGGAGAGAGAGGGAGAGGGAGAGAGAGGGAGAGGGAGGAGAGAGAGGGAGAGAGAGGGAGAGGGAGAGAGAGAGAGAGAGAGAGAGAGGGAGAGGGAGAGAGAGGGAGAGGGAGAGAGAGGGAGAGAGAGGGAGAGGGAGAGAGAGAGAGAGAGAGAGAGAGAGAGAAACAAACATATAACATCGAGGGTTAATCATTGTTATACTGTATGCATCAGTTTGCCTTTTGAAGGGATGCCACTTTGTTCTTTCATAGTGCATCGTGTGGGCCTTCAGGATTTAGTTGAGTTCTGGGGGGTGTTTCACAAAGACTAAGATCGACTTAAGCTGGTCTTGAACTATGGCAGGCCATTCATGGTCTCTGAAGGGACATCACAAATCTACAGAATTTAAATTTTTTGACAGTTCATTGTTGAGGAAAAAAGTTACTTACATTGTAAACTTGAGTTATATCTAAGACTTGGACTTATCCTACGGTAGGCAATTTATGCCCTTGAGGAGCATTCTTACCATAAGGTCACCGTGTGGGCATATGGCAATTACTAACTTAAAGAGAAGGTTGAGTTCTGGGTAGAGGTGAAAAATAATTTGTGAGCGTTATCATTCTTATTATGCAAGTGTGGAAGAACACCAGATAAGACATGTTCCCTGAAAAGCATGGCTATTCAAAGGCCTTCATATTCTAAATATGTCATGTAACATCGTAAAAATCCAGGGTCAGACTTTTACGCCACGTGTTCGTGTAGTCCCATATACATCTTTCTGTGTACAGTGGTTGTAACTTTACCAAGACTGGGCCAAATTTCTTATCATTTTGATGATTCCAGAACCTTGCAATACACACAAATTCTTATATGCTAGATGATCAACCTTTTCTGGTCGATTCCACACCGTTTCTTTCACAATGCAATCGCATGACCAGAACTCAACTTCATCTTTAAGGGCACTGCTAAACATCTGCAAACACTTTTACCTGCAAGGGATCAATGGAAAGTCTAGCCAAAATCCACAGAGTCTCCAAGCTTAATACGAAATACACCATCTTAGTTCTTTACAGATATCCTGGTAGACCGGATTCGTTCACGCACAATGTGCTTTATCTCAACTCTCCCTGGGGAGCATTCCTACCATATGGACACCGTGTGGGCATATGGCAATTACTAACACTCAGGCTTTCGTCATCCTACCAGGTCCCCATTTCTCCCCTGGATATGGAGTGGAAAATGTAGATTGATGCCTTGCAAAGGGATGTTGGCGCCCTGTCGACCTTTCCATTTCAAGTCAAGTGCTTAAACCACTCAACTCAACACCTCTATCAAGCCTACGGGACCAGATGATTCAGTAGTGAACAGGGTCTGTCTTCAATTCAATACTTAAGTACAAAATGTAAGCTTTTTACTTAGTATTTGGCTTAGATAAAATACTTAGCCAATTTTGGTATTCAATTCACAATTTTGGTTAAGTATTTAACTCTAAATCTAAGCCAACTCCATACACGACTTAAGTCGATTATTTGGAGGCCTTTATTGGCAGGCATATGGTTTTCTTACACAGTATTATAACCTACACACAATTATATCAGCGCGCATTTATTGCAATGCATCAATTACGCATTACTTTTGATGGACCGTGTGACGTCACAATGCTTATCAGTAAGTATTTTACTTAGATTTCGTCTTACATAAGTATAAGTCTAAAATGCGATTTGAATACGAGATAATTAAACTACTTAACTTAGCCATTTACTTAGTAAACTTCTTACATATGCTAAGTATTGAATTGAATACCAGCCCAGGTGAATAAGGTAGTCTTACCTCAAAGATTAATCTCTTTCCTGGAGTTCTACTTCTGCACCAGCAAACCTCATTTCTGAATAAGGTTAGACTCACTTCAGGGTTACTTGCATCCCGCTGTTGGAACAAATGGAAAGATTATCAATACTTATAACACACGTACATGTATCTCTAGATTAAGAAGTTCATATGAAACTAACTGTCATGAATTTGTATTTGTACATAAATGTATTTTAATCCCCTTCCTCCTCCTGCTCCTCCTTCTCCTTCCCTCCCCCTCCTCCTCCCTATTTCCCTGTCACTCCGTCTCATCCACTTTCTTCACCTCCTCCTCCTTCCCTTCTCTTCTCCCCCCTTCCTCCTCCTCCCTCTCCTCCTCCCTCTCCTCCTCCTTCTCCCCTCCCCCTCCTCCTCCCCTCTTTCCCTGTCCCTCCTTCCCATCCACTCTCTCTCCTCCTCCTCCTCCTCCTCCTCCCCCTCTCCCCCCTCCTCCTCCCCCTCCCTCCTTCCCTCCCTCCTTCCCTCCCTCCTTCCCTCCCTCCTTCCCTCCCTCACATTTACATCCTCCCTCTGCTGTTCCACATATCTGGAGCAACCCTAATGAGAGCAAGCAACACATTTATAAGATTGTACAGTGACAAGAAGTTTCCTCCAGCATGGAGAAAGAGAAGGTTGCTCATGCGTGGGTATATAGAGGGCAGCACACGGACGTACGCACAGGAGCGTAATACCCATTGGCTCAGTGTTATGTAGTCATCGCCAAGTTGCCTACTTCACGAACGACTATATACCCATGCATGAACATCTTTAACACACCGATGAAATTCAGTATGGACACGCGAAAGTCATGCTCCTGCACTGTTGTGTGTTTCAATACCACACTTGAATCACACTGTGAACGAGAACAAAAACGCCCCCTTAAAGCCCCACTGAACTACTTATAGCTACTTGCGCCCTCTATATAGCAAACAATGCCTAATCGGTGCCTGTTGGTCCCCATGATCCCTTTTTTATTATGGTAATTGAGAGCTGACTTGATGAAATAGCCACCTGTCAGTGACCTTGCAGGGAAGTCTAATCCTCCCTGGCCAAACTAATACAGATAAGCTTTAAGTACCTCATAGTGCTTGTGATCTTTGTAGTATTTGAGTTGTGAACCGGCCAAGACCGCGTACCCCGGCCGGCTCTTCTTCTTCGGCACTCTATCTTTCATCAGCACCATGCTCAGCATACCCTCCTTCTCTCTCACTTCCATCTCAGTCGGCGCGTATAAGCTTATCCTCTGCAAGAAGAGAGAGAGATATATGGATAGTGAATTAGCTTGTGCAGACTAGAGTGGAATTTACATTTGTATAAGGAAACATCATACAACGACCCATTATATAGTATTAGTGTGAAAGTGGCATACAAACTGGAAAACAACATTTTATATAGAAACGTACAAAACAAAATGTTTGAAGAGGTTAGTTGATATGATATGTATGTTCAGTGTCGGCTATAAAGATGACAGTTCATCGGCTGCCCAGGGGGGTGTTTCACAAAACTTGTCATCAGTGACAAATGACAATTGTTGTTATAAGCTACTGCAATCCTTTAATACTTCTGATTGGTTATCAGCAGATTTGTCACAGATATTTGTCATTTGTCATTGAAAAGGGGCTTTGTGAAAAGGGTCCCAGAAGAAGGCAGCAAGAGCTATGCACTGACAATGGCAGTCATGACATTCCTGTGGATGCCCAACGAGCTGACCGATAATCAGTGAGCACTGGATGAGGCCTGCCTAGTTACATGCTTTTTATGTGCGTATGATACGACATTCACACTGAAAGCCGACCCCAATTATGATTTGAGTTTTCAATTGAAACCATGTTCTAACAAACGTTTTGCTGAACGATATTTATTCATGCGATATTCATACTAGAAAAAGGCTAATCACTTTTTGTATAGCTATATTGTACGACTTTATAATCATTTTTGGTCATCTGAATGAGGGATATGTGGTTTTGGGTGATCGTGAGAAATAAGTGGTTATTATAGTTTCACAACCATGTTAGTATCAATTACACTTCATAAATATGTCAACTAAGTTTATAAGAAGGTAAGGAAAACTTTGAAATGGCAAGCTGTAATTGAATTAATCATGATTACTTTATGGTGCTTGAAAGAGAGACTGAGAGATAAAGTCAGAATCAAGAGAAAAGGGGGAGAGGGGAGAGGGGTAGAGGGAGGACGGAGAAGAGGGAAAGAGGGAAACAAGGGGAATATAGAGAGAGGGATAAAGGGGACAGAAGCAGATATATGTGTAGAGAGGTGAAGATATAGAAAGAAAGGGCAGAAATGAGAAGAGAGGAAGGGGAAAGTGGGGAGAGGGGGAGACAGGAAGTGAGAAAGTAGAGAAATAAAGAGAAAGAGAGAAGGGGAGCAGAAAGATTGTCTAGAAAAATACAAAAGGAGGTGAGCAAGTCTTAATATACTTAATAGGTGAAAATATGAAAGACAGGAACATTTCAGAAGTCAGAACTGTGAACAATAACACTGCAATATAAAAAGAGACACATAAATACAACAATAAACATACAGGAAAACAGGCTGATGGAAAAAGGGAAAGAAAAGGGAGAAATGGGGGAGAAAACTGGGATGGCAGCTAAAAAATTATGTTAGACCTCGCTTGGTACAGTGTTGTTCTTTTATTGGTGGGCAGAGCTTTGTAAAGACATCAAAGTTGATATTTGCACTGAGAGTTGCAATGGAATAGAAAGAAAACAATATGAGAACATACAAGAACTATATTCTGAAACAAACCCTTAAAGAATTGATTGTAATAAGATGTATACAAAACACAAACAAGTTCTTGTTAATGAAACATAAAGATGGAGAAGTCATATGCATGTATCAATATTTAACATTAAAAAAGTAAGCTTTGGTTAACAAACACTGTAAGAACATTAATAGCCTATTATGAGCCTTTACAAGTATTTGAGAAAATGCAACAAGTAAAAGAGATATAATATGCAAGTCAACCACATGATAAAGTTGTATTAATTAGTATGAATGTCAAACTGTACGTTTGTATTCATTTGATGAAAAAAAATGATATGTGTTAATATTAAAATGTTAATAAAATGATTCAAAGGAATAAAATGGAGATTATTTTCCTAGTAATGTACAGTTGATTTGAAGGGTTCATCAACGCTTGAAAATAACGGGTGGAGTTACAACCCTGTTGTTGCAATTGCAACAGACAAAACAAAACAGTACAATATACCATACGGCCAATAATTGTTGGTTTAATGGTACGAGTATTTGAAGAATGATTACACTAAACCACACCAGTATTAAAGACTAATTTTAGTTTACTAAAATACAAAAAACAAATTTTATCCATCTTTCTCAAACAAGGGTTGGTTTTCAAGCCCCTGAAACCATTAGGTCTACCTGACATTGCAACAGATTAGGTGAATTCCATCAATGGTAACTTTATCATACACAATAGGTGACATCAATAGCTTAACCCAAAGTTTCTTGGAAGAAACATGTAAAATTTAATACATTCATGAATAAACAAGACTATTCAAAGATTATACAGACTAATATAAAAGGTATATATTTGTGAAATGTATGTAAGTGAATGTGAATAGCAAAACGTATGAACTGTGTCTGTGGGTACATGCAAATGTCACTACAGAGATAATATCTGTGTATGAGCAAATAACGGTCATTTGTACAAGACTATAAAAACCCATCAGGACGACTACCGGTATGTAATCATCATCAATTATACACCATCGGTAACACGGTGGACATTTTTCGACTCAAAAGGGCAAACAAAAGGTATTCATGAAGAACCTTCATCACTATGGTGGTGTGATGGGACTTCTACATGTTTCAAGGATCTGAGGATATTCGGGGGTCATCTGTACAAACGCCATCTCCGATTAGGCTAAATTATCATTGATGTACATGTAATGAATAGATATGATCTTACATAATGACCATATTGGGAACCAAGCAGCAGTACTGTTTATATTAATTATTAATGGTTGGATTCACAAAAGAACCAAACTATGACAAAGTCCAGAATAGGCCATTTTCGTAAGATAACCAAATTCATTGCATGCGCCTTTGTAAAGTGCGTAATAAAAATGATGTTGTTTACCGGTCACAAATGGTTGTATTTTAATAGTCAGCATGCAAATTGCATACATTACCGGTGTTATTACAAGCTATGATGTTTGTCCTACCTAACAACAATTAATTATGCAATTTGCATTCTCATTATTGCAATACAAATAATCTTGGTTTACATTATCTTTTGGACCGACATTAAAATACAAGTACTGGTGCTTTTTGCAATTTAAACACTTGCGCAAGTTTGAATCAAGATAAGGATGTGAGGAATGTAATGTATATATATATTTGTGAAAAGTGAAGGCGAATGTGGTGCCATTAAATATTAATTCACTTGTGAAATGGTGTGATGAAAGACCGCTTCAGCAAATTGTATCAGACATTACAAATTGCAGTCAACGCAAATAAATACATGTAGCAAGGGCACGAGAACAAGGCCTTCTGAGAGGTTCTTACTTGAGAACAGGGCCCTGTTTCACAAAACTTGTCATCAGTAACAGGTTACAATAACTGTTATAAGCTACTGAAATCACAGCGTTTGATTGGCTGAGAACAAAGTTGTCATAGAAGTTTAGCATTTGTTATTGATAACAAGTTTCATGAAACAAGGCCCTGGTCCAATAAGATGACGTGGGTCTTGGAACAGAAAGGGCTGTTCCCATGTTAACGAGACTTGGACTTGACTGCTAAGAGCGAGAAGGCCAGGGTGTTGCCTCAAATAAGTGGAAACTGGGTGAAAAGCCTTCTGGCTCTCAACAGATGTTTTGGTATATAGCTTGTGTATGAAATCCATGACAACTTGATTAAGTTCAAATGTTCAATGCAAAGATATATCGTTTGTTCAGAGCCAAAAGGGCATTAACTCTGTATTAACGTATACGAATGGGTAAACACCTTTCTGGCTTAAAACAGACAATATACATGTATAAGCATTCCATTGGTTATGAGCTGGGAACTTGGTTAGACGTGTGGTATGAACATATGTGTACATGTATGACTGGTTATTAACAATTCAACGGTTATGAGTTATCCACTGCAAAAAGACGACAAACAACTCAAACTCTGTACATCATCTGTTTGGAGCCAAGGACATTAACTCGAAAAATTTGAAGCGGTGTCAAAGCCTCCTGGTTCTCAAAAGACGATATCATCTGTTAAGAGCCAAAACGACATTAACTAAACAACACTTCACACAGAGTTAATGCCCTTCTGGCTCCAAAGGGACAATAAAAACACAAGCTGAAATAACCACTGTTCGTTATATGCTTTCATCAAACAACACAATGGTATCCTCAAACACACACAATCCACTCTAAACGGAAAGATTCAAGGAAATGTTTCCTGAACCTCTTTGACTTACATTATTAAATCTTCGCTTAATTTCATCTTTCTGTGAGAGAGGAAAGTTAGAAAGACAAGTTAGAAAATAACTCCATTAGTTTATATAATCAGAAGAATGACTAAAGGGAAGGTAAAATGAGGGAATTTTAAAATGAATATGTTGAATCATAAAACAAGGCTTCACACATTTTTTGGAACGGGGTCGAGATGAACTTTTTACAGTCTGCATGTATGAACCCTTGTACAAACTTCAAAATTAGGTTTGGGGGGCCTGTGTGTCCCGGCACCTGCTAGTGTTGAGCCCTCCATAAAATCATAGTTCATTAATAGAGCTTAGGTTTAGAAGATTGCTAGAGAGTTTGTTCGAAAGTGATTAAAAGTTTTGATGTTCATACACTGTATAATATTTCAGTCTTACAGGAGAATACTTTCAAATATGTTTTAAAAAGCATTATTTTGAAGGGCAATATCATTTCAAAAACATAAAAGATAATTTTGTTCATTCTTTTGGTTCTAATACGACACTCTTTTGACAAAGCATTTTCAATTTTGTAGGTTCACAATTTAATTAATATGTTAGATATGCATGAGAAAACCATGAGGAACATGTACTTACTGGGAGGGGGGGGGGGGCAGGGAATGAAGAAAAATATTACAAATTATATCATGTCATAATGTAAAAGGAAGTATGTATCAATGTGCTGAAGTTAATTTGAACAATATTAATTCTAACTCAAAGAAAAACACTGAATCACTCTGATAATACAATTTAGAAAAAAATAAGACACACTTATTATATCTTATGTGCTATTTTCTTTTCAGTTATTAAGCAATGTGTATTTCAATGATGTATTATTCAATCCAAGCGTGCATGGAAAGAGGTAGGAAATATTTATTTGTGATTCAACAGGGTTTTTTTTTTTTTTCTTTTTGAAAGATATTTGATGTCCAAATTGAGTGAGATGTATGTAACATTTTCTTGATATGACTAAGTTCATTAGTGGATTGTCTTGACATGAAAATCTAGGATTTATGTGATTCAATGTAGGTTTATGAATGTGGAAACTGGAAAGGCAAAGCCATGATTCATTTGAATTCATTAGTGGTATGAAACTTGATATGACAAACTATTATTTATCTCAATCCACTAGAGGTATTCCATTCATGCAATGAACTGATTTATTTAAATCCATAAGCGGTATTTTATGACAAACTATTATTTATCTCAATTCTTTAGAGGTACGTCATTCATAAACTGATTTATATAATTTCATAAGTGATTTGATCTTCGAGTTGTAAAATACGGTTTATCTGAGTCAAAAGTGGAATGATCTTGCTATGACAAAAGTGTGATTTATCTCAATTTAATAGAGGTATGTCATTAATGCAATAAACTGATTTTTTTTTTTTTTAATTCATAAGAAGCATGATCTTCATATCATAAAACATGATTTATATCAATCAATAGTGGAATGATCTTGATATGACAAATTATTTTTAATCTGAATTCAGATGTCCATGTACATGTATGTCATTAATGTATTAATGCAATCAATTGGTTTATTATAACTAATTAATAGTTGGATGATCTTAATGTAAAAGACAATGATTTCTCTGAATTAATAGTGGTTTGATCCCTATTTTACAATCATTGCTCTGAATTCATTGGTACTATGATCTTGCTGGACAAACTATGAATGATCTCAAATCATTAGGGGAATGATGCAAATGTGATTAACTGTTAACTGTCAGAATTTGTTAGCTTAAGATTTTAATTTGATAAATGTGATTCATAAATCTGATGGTTTCTTTACCTACATGTAACTCTCATGCAAAATGGAGTTTAAATGAATGTTTTGCTGAACTAGCTATGGAATAAATAGGCATTTCAACTAAATTCCAATATTATTATTTGAAAGGTATAGAGCATCGAGCGAGAGATAGGAGAGAGATAGGAGAGTAATAAGTCGACCTAATCCACACTCATATATAGATTCCTTTTCATTAAGAAATTAAGATGGATAAAAAAAATCTTTGGGTTTAAAGCGATACTGAACTGATGAACTTGCACAGCGCCATCTCATGGTCAACTTGCGAACAGCGCGTACCAATCCACTGAATTCTAAACTACGTATAGTGTAGAGTTCAGAGTCACCAACAGGACAGCGAGTTACAGGACCACACTGCTACGGTTGACCTGAGATGGCGCCAAAGGTAGTACTTCTAGTATTAAAGTGGATGCACGGTAATGACGGTATATATTGTGTACATGTATGTTGGACATCTATGATAGTGGGCACAACAAATACCTTTCTTTCATACTCCAAGTCCTGTAAAATATATATAAATAAATATATATAAATAAATATATTTGAGACACAATTTATATTAGAATACTAGCATCAATGTATCATCACTTAAGAGTCAAACGAGTAATTTTTTTTGAATTAATAGGCCATGAACATGGCATACCAGTACCGGTAATGCTTTTTTTGAAAGCATACAGAATTAAGCGAAAAAGCTAGCACAAGCATCGCTTGATTTTGTATGCATAACAAAAGGAATATGCCATTTTCTTAATGTAACCAAATGTATGCATACGCCTCCTACGAATGATATAATTTGCCCGTTACAAATAAATGTATCTCAATGGTCAGAATTCAAATTGCATACATTAGTCGTTGCTAGGTAGGACAAATGGTATGGCCTGCCCTACCTAACAACACATAATATATATGCAATTGCATTCTGATTATTGAAATACAATTATTTGTTATAGGTGTATGAAATTATTCATATCAAGGCACTCAAATACAAATTTGGTTACTTACAAAAACGGCCTATTGCTTGTTACCCTAGTCATCAAATTCATGCTTTCCCCGCACACACAATGTATGCACATTCTCCACTCTCTAGGGAGCATTCAAGCCAGGTGCTATTGTACAGACGCTCACAATGCTGAGCAAACTAAAGTGACTTGCATCATACCAGGTATTCTTCATCATTCTTTGTTCTTAGCTTACTTTCTTTGGCGTTCTTAACCTTTAAGTATTTCAAGTGAGTGGCTGAGTTTCAGTTCACATAGTAAAAGAAACCAATAATGATAAAACTAACAAGTAATTAAACACCTCATGAATCAACATCCCTTTATATTTTGTCACTTCCGAGTTCTTTTAGAAGTGGGTGCTTCTACCAAAAGTAAAAAAGTGAAACACAAAACCAAGTTGTCTTCTTGCATCGATGAAAGAAGATAATGCCTGATCACTCAATTGTAAAGACACACACACAACAACAAAACAAACAAAAGTGTGTGCTAAACTCCATACAATTAACATAAGGTGATCCACTTCTGGCACTCAGCTAACGACATCATTTACATATTTTCTCATTCAAATAAATGAACATGTTTGCTCATATAAGGGCAGGCATATTTTTTGAAGGTTTTTTTAAAGGATATGAGGAAGTATGCAAACTAGACGTAAAGAAAACATGATTTAATCTATTGCATGAGTATATGGACTTTATGTTTGTTCCTTTGTTATGCTCTGTTCTCATTAAAAAAATGTAATACCGGTACAGCAATTTTAATTTTTGCTCTTATAAAGACAGCCGTAATTTTAAGCATTTCAGAAAGTATGCAGAATATAAGAGAAATGCATAATTTGAGAATTATACAAATTAGATTATATTTATGCATAGATATGTTAATGATTTTGAGACAATAGAAGATTCCATTTGAGATAAAAATTGATTTTTTTTTTTTCCCTTCAAAATACTGCAATTTTAGTTTTTTGTTAAATCAAAGGTATGTTACATGTACATGTATATGTTTATCAGATCATTATTCATTATTAATATGTTTTGTATGATATTGAATTACTTCTTTGTTAACAGTTCTTTGCGTAACACTGTATTCTGGACATACAATTTGGTATCCATTTGATACTAAAACAGTTTGAGATTGGCATTTAAGTGATATCAGTATTACAGTGTTACTTAGAGAGGGGAAACCAAAGATTTGTTAGCAATCTCATTTCCTGAGAGCGTCTTTCCTGCTGTATCGCTTGCTTAGATCTAACTGGCTTGCTCGAAGGGCCCTAATGAGTTGAAACAGTATTTACATCCATATCATCTCTTAAAGGGGGTCTAGCATGGCAAATACTGGTTAACGCCATCTACGACTTCTTTTGGACAACTGCACATAAACGACTAAAGTTCTCCTCACGCTTCGGTTATGCGTATGTTGCACGCACGTGAATAATGCTGTCGCGTCATCCGTAGTATGTTTTTATAACCGATTGGCACTCAGTCAGGCCACGGGAAAGATACTTAGTCTTGTCAGTCTACACTCCCTTTAACTTATTTTACTTTAAACTGCAATATTCATAGTCGTAGGAAAAGAAATGCTACAGATTTTCGCTTGCCACATAATTATGCATACTCATTTTTTTCAAAAATTATTTACATGTATGTACCAAGGACATATCATTTGGAATTCGCTTTCCTCATCAATACAAGAATCTCAATCGCTGAATGTTTTTAAATTAGGTTTACAACATTTACTCTTGCAAAATATATTTGTTTTTAAACCTTTTGTTTCATTTATCTGTAATATTATATGCCAGGCACTGTGTTGTTTATTCCCCCCCCCCCTCCTGTATTGTTGTATTTGTGTCATGTCCTTATAATCTGGTACTCACAACGTACACATTTATACATTATGCTTACAGATAGATCTACAACGTGCTAATTTACGAATACCTTATACATGCATATAGTACATGTATTTATATAAATCTATTTTCACTTTCAATCCATATGTATATCACTTCTTCAATAAACATGTCTGATGATGCACATGTATTACATATATATTCAACTCTATAAAAGTGCAAGGCCGTGAACCTGTTGCATATTTTCTAAAGTGCAAAGTAGTGAATATGCTCTCATTTCCTTTACTGTTTGTCGTCTTTAGGGGAATTTGACATTCTTTTCCCAAATTAACTACAAAACTACTATCGTCCTAAAAACAGGATAGTTGACTTTTCATTATATTATTTCCTGCACACATTTTTTAATCTTTCTATTTTTGGTATTTAGGGGAATTTGACATTTTATTCCTAAATCAACTACAAAACTACTATTGTGCTGCACATTACAGTTGACCTTTCGTTGTATTATTTCCTGCACACGTTTTCCATCTTCCGATACACCAGGATGCGCTTACTATTCATGAAACACTCTGTATTTGTTTTATTACAAAGTTAATCAAAATTATGTAATGTACATGTAAACCTACCAGACTAAATTTTAAATGAACTTACCAAAATATAATATTGCTACGATAAACATTGTAGGCTGCAAGATATTTCAATAAAATGAAATGACTTGGACTTTGATTAGAGAGAAAAAAAACGCTTAAGTGCCTGTGATTTCCCTATCTGAATATGCTACAAGTAAAGAAATAATTTTGAAATAGATAGTGTTTATTCTTTAAGTGATGGTGAAACATGCTGTATAGCAGACCTGCCAACCTCAGGAGTTCAAAAACTGTATTCTTTAGTCCCAAAAGTTGTATTTTACTGACAAAAGTTGTATTCTTGAAAATAAACATGGACTGATACGCGGATCAATGCCTCTTACAGTTTCTACCTACAGGAAGAATTTTTTTTATTGATCATTGGTTGAATATGCATGATTTTGTCATGACTGGTTTGTTCGATGAACCAATGAACATCCCCAAATTGCCGATGTGAGATACTTGTAGGATACTTTACAGGACAGAATGGACATTTTGCCATTGAAAATGGCGGACGCACACACAAAATATTAATTTGGGGAAAAAAAAGGAATTTTTTTTTTTTTTTTTTTTTTTTTTTTTTTTTTTTTTTTTTGAAAATCATATTTTATTAAGGAAAATTGTACAGTCGTATTTGCTTCTAAAAATCGTACTAAATACGACTAAATCGTACTGGTTGGCAGGTCTGGTATAGTGTTGTTATCAGAATATAAAGGCTTTTAAAAGGAGTATAGAAAATAATTGTACTCTTAGCTGTATCAGAATTTAAAAGAAAGAAATGTATGGCATTTAGTTTGATAACATTTTAAAATATCTCTGCAAATGTGCAGGAGATACAACAAAACTTGAACATTATGACTGAGGTAAAAACTCAAAACTCTCTATGAAAGAAAAAGAAAATCTGAAAATAATTCAATTTAAACAGCGATAGTTTGTGAGTGATTGGAATACATAACTGTGGATATTTTAAAGATAATGGTCAATAACATATAGGTATAGGTCGATTCAAGTGTGCATTTAGTGTATTGAATGATTATTTGTCTATACCATCTGTTTAGGGTCAGAGGGCTATCAAAGTCACATACTGTAACAATGAGTTAACATCTTTCTGGCTCTCAACAAGATATTAAAGTACATGTAAGTTCGTGTGTGAGACAGCTACATGTAGCTATGCAATAGATTAAACATGTGCTTTCTGTGTAATAAAATAAGGAGAGTTTACCTGATTAGTTACAGGTGGGGACGGATTCTGGATATTGTTCAAAAGAAGAACACAGAAGAAAAAAAGATACACAGACAAAGATGAGCACATTAAAACAACACCTAGACATATAAAAGGGATCAAAGAAATTATTGAATCTAATGTTCATATGAGAAAAACACAGATGTAAACAGGTAAACATTGAAAGTTATACATACACAGTGAAACCTGTATATGAAGACCACTCAAGGAAAACATGAAATGTGGTCTTTATACACAGGTGGCCTATCTATAGTGGTAGTCGCTATTAAAAGCAGGTTTAACTGTACAACATACATTTTAAATTGTTATGTGTTTTGTTTTTTGCTGAGTAGCTGGTATATGCAAGCTTCTTTTACACTGAAATATGAATGCAAGAAAGGAGAAATGGAAAATAATTACATGTAGTTTTGGGCACATATGATTTGTTTTTCTTCAATTATGCCGTTTTATAAGCTTTCCATGAAGTTTTTCATAGACAATGTGTCTACTCTTGGTGTCCGTGTTGAAAGCAAAATGTGCAGAAGTTAGAAAATTCATTCAATGACTTCTTCAAAATACAATACAAAATTTGATAAACAATTTGATTTTTTTCTTCAATTTAGATATTTTTTATGCACTGTGTTTACAAGCTGCCATGTGGTGAGAATAGCAGTTAATTTTTCATTATTAAATCTATTGAATTATTTATCCTGTCATTACTTGAAATATTTGTGGAATTTGTAATGGTTTTCAGAACCATTACATACATTCTACTACAAATCAGTATGGGTGCATAGTGACATCAATTTAGGTTAGCTAATGACTGGAATTTGACTTGAAAGGAAATACTTAATTTGTGTGTGTTTAAAAAAAATGTCAATGCGTACAGCATTCAAGTGAAAATTTCATGAGGAAGCATGGAGCATAAATGGTTTTAACATGTAAATGTTGTTTTGGGGGGTTTGATATTTTCAATATCTCAGCCCTGTTTTGTAAAGGCGGCAATGAATACAAAATGTATGACAAATTGGCTCAAAGCCAATCACATTTCATGGTTTAGTGGCTTTCAACAATTCTTGTAACTGCTTTTTATAACAAGTTTTGTGAAACGGGGTATTGCTTGCCAGTGTCGTGAACATGGGATAAGTCGGTGGTATTGATAATAAAATTCAACACAATGAAAGCTTTGAGTGCAAGCTTGATAATAAATAATAATAAAAGCAGGTTCTTGTCTAGCCCTCATGACACTCCTGGCGCTCCGCAATTATTACCCGGCTTCAGCAAGGCTGCCATTACGGCGCTCTAGCGTTTCTAGCAAGTCCTGCCAGGTACCCATTTATATGACTTTGGACGAGGGTGGCAAATGTAGATTAATGTCTTGCCAAAGGACATTAAAATACCTTTTATATAAAAAAGAGTGCCAGAAAGATTGCCTGAAAGTTCTTTTCATAACATTTAAATCACTTCATTTCCTCAATGTACATAGAAATGTGAACTTTATTATGGCACACTATTAAATGTCCTGCAGTGAAGCTCAGGCCTGGTATGATATTCATATCAAAGGTTAAACTGAATGAATATAGCCAAAAAAGCCATTTCTTTATTAATTGCTGTTTTCTTTCTCCTTCATATTTTTCATTGCTTATGATATGTACATGTACATATATAATCTTTTCTACATCTGATGTATGAGTTTTGAAAATATTTAAATATTTCAGTTGAGGTTAGAAATAAAAGAATATAAAAGGGCTAGCTATGCAGGAAGCATAAAGAAAAATATCATCCTGTTTATATTCAATGTGTCTACGGTACTTTTTTTGACAAGAGTTAGTACTGCCTATCAAGACAGAATTGCAAAGATACTTTTCAGCTTTTAAACACCAGAGGAGAAAGCTTATGATATGTGCATATAATCTTTTCTTAGTCTGATGTATGAGTTTTGAAAATATTTAAATATTTCAGTTGAGGTTAGGAATAAAAAGAATTTAAAAGGGCTAGCTATGCAGGAAGTACTACACAGAAAGTATAGCGATGTGTTTACGGTACTTATTTTTGCCAAGATTTAGTACTGCCTATCAAGACAGAATTGCACCGATACTTTTCAGCTTTTAAACACCAGAGGAGTAAGCAACACCACAAACAGACAGACAAAGCCACAGAACTTCCAGGGAACGATACATTTAGAGGAGAGAGCGGAAGCGAGCACGAGACAAGGACAAAACAGATACACACACAACGACGACGTCAAAGCTTACGTCTACAAAGCGGCCGTCGTAAGGTATACTGGGGCTGGAAGACCGTAAGTGAGGGTGGAAGGAATGAGGGCGCACCGATGACGCTTTCCCCTGGCGGAGCTTTTGGCTGGGTAGCTTGGGCTCGTCGGCTTGACCTCCACCTTCCGATACCATGCGATGGCGAGGAGAAGAGGGCACCTAGGGATACGTGTGTTAATGAGAACAGGGCGGGGTGAGGGGTGGGGTGGGGGTAGAGGTGAATAGAGAATGCACGTTAGAAGAGTAAATCTATAGGTCACGAAAGAAAGAAGTTATCTCGTTTCAGACGGATGATTCTGGTATTTCAATAGGAACAGGCTAAAACAAAATAATATTCTACACAAAACAAAAAATAAAGGTTAGTACATGAGCAAACCTGGAACATAGCCCTGTCAAAGAGCATTTGACCCACCACTAGTTGCAAAATAATTTATTCCACTGCAATGCATTTCAGTAAGCTCCCTTTGAACACCATATTTAAAGTCTTATATAAGCGATCCAAGAAAGCAAAATTTGCAAAAATCCCTGAATTTCCCCAAATGCAACTTAAGCGGGGGTAAAGTGGAGGCTAATTAGCACGATATGCAAATTACATCTTCATATATACAGTACATGTATAATCAATCTGAAAACTTGTTCATCATGTCTAGTGGCCCCAAAGATATTGGTTTAAACACCTACATTGTTTTCATCAAATACTTTTTTTTGTTGAAATTATGGGGAAAATGTAAATATATCGGATGCTAATTTACATAATATGCAAATTATGCCAATTATTAAATCAATCTGAAAATGTGTTCATAATGTTGAGTGACCCCGAAAATGTTGGTTTCAATACCTGAATCGTTTCAATCGGGTACCTTGGTGCAATTTTATAGCGCTATGTATTTTTTTCATATTAACAGAGCTTTAATTTGCATATTATGCACATTTTGTTGATTTTCCGTATTTACATTTCTTTAGACTTTTAATGTGTTTAGGTGAGCTAATTGAAATGCATTGCAGTGGACACAATTATTTTGCCATTAGTGGTGGGTTCCCCCCTACTGCATGGACTAATAACTTCTCTGGGGAAACCCCATAGATCTTTATATTATATATTATACTGATCATCTGTTGACAAACTGTTTACACAAAACAAGGAAATGTTGCCTCTGCCAGATGAAATATGAGATGATTAAATTTCTATGTATTTGATACACGAATCTTAATTATCTGAGTAAACAAAATTTAAAATAATTACACTTTCCACATATAATGTTTTAAATTACTGGGAAAAGAAAAACTACATTATGTCTGCAACACCACAAACATGTGTGAGAGGGATTCACATTTTCATTGTTTATCAAGGAAATAACATTAGTATAAGGTTGGTGCAGTGCTTTAAGTAGTAATATTTACCTCTTGACCAAGCAACAAAGCTTTTTAATATGATTTTGTGAGTATTTTGTAATGACTATACCTTCTACTTTTAATCACAAGTCTAATACAATGGAAATAAATATGTATACTCTGTACTTGAGAATCAAAGTTCATAATTTGTGTGTATATGCATACAATCTTTGGGTACATAAATAGATCAATTAGTTTACATTATATATCAAATGTACATACAACATTATATATCAAATGTATACATGTAAATTACAGAAAAGAGATAAAAATTAATATACATGTCCTTTCATGCAAATCATAAAAGTGTTATTGCATACTTATGATTGCATCTAGAATGTCAATGAGGAAATAGATTGGTATGACACATACAATACATATTTTTCAAAGTACACCTGAAATATGATTTTGATGTATTCTCTTCAATATTTTCTTAATACATTCATGACATAATATCTCATGAACGAATCTGCCATTCTCTCTCTCATTCCTGCCTCCTCTTTCTCTCTATCCTCCTCTAAATCTTTATTTCTGAGTTACTTTCCCATTTCTCACTTCTCCTCTGCCCATGCTTCTAATCTCTGTTCTTTTTTTCTACCTGGATATATCTCTATCTCCTCATTCTTTTTCTCTCCCTTCCACTCTTCTGTCCATCCGACCACATAGCAAACGTATTCTTTTAGTCCTTGTCTCATTTGATCTCTGTCTGTCTGTCTGTCTGTCTGTCTGTGTGTGTGTGTGTCTCTCTCTCTCTCTTTCTCTCTCTCTATCTCTCTGTCCTCTATATCTCTCTCTCTCTCTCTCTCTCTCTTTCTCTCTATCCATTTATCTCTCTCATTCAATACATGTATGATGTGCGTCACTCCTATTCCACAATGAAAGCTAGAATATAATACAGTACTTCCTTAAACTTATGCAAATGACGCAGACTGTTGATAAACGCAGCAAAGTCTATTATCCCCAGACTCAGTATAGACACAAATTTATGTAGAGGGATTATCAAGGGTTTGTATCAATTGTGCCTGGGTACAGGCTACATCTCTGCAATACAGGTATATAAGAAGCCAGGGAACTCCCACTAAAGAAACCCATCCATCTTAGTCATAAACAGGGCCCCGTCTTACAAAGAGTTGATATCAATTGCAACTTAATTGCGACTGATATCAATCGCAACTATGTACATAAGAAATAGGAGACTACAAACTTAAGATTGATTGGAGGACTTGCAATTGATTTAGATAAATCGGAACTCTTTGCGATTGATTCCTCCAATCAATCAGGTCAACTCCAGTCATACACCTAAAGTAAGCTTGAACTTGAAAACAGTGCTTAGCAGAATAAGGCCATTTTCGTAATGTAACCAAATTCATACTTTAATATTAAGAGCCTCGATACGATTATTTCATTCACAATTTCACATGTTACGAATAGTTGCATTTCAATAGTCAGTATAAAAATTGCATATATTACGTGTTGTTAGGTAGGGCAAGCCATAATGTTTGTCCTTCATAGCAACAACTAATGTACATGTATGCAAATTGAATCCTGACAGTTGAGATACATTTAGTCTTATATGGAGAACTGAATGACATAATTTGTATGAGGCGTTTCGCGAAGGCATTTGCATTACATTACTGTATGTTACATTACGAAAATGGCTTTTTTCTTTTCTTCAAGTACTGTCAAATACAGACGATATCACACAACTCATTTTCTTGATGTCAAATCTGAAATTTATGGATGACCCTTTGGATAAGAGATCATATACCGGTACTGTCTTGTACTGTATTGTGATAGCCAGAAGTACATGAATGTTTAAAGGTAAAGACCAGTATTGGAAACGCCCCAATTTCAAAAAATGAAATGGAAGCTCTTATTACCAATCATGTGAAGGAATATGTTTTGAATATTACATGATGATAAAAATGTTGACGGGAAACCGCCTACTAATTGATATATTTGGTAAATTAGTGTATCTCTCGCCTGTTGAGAGATATGAAATGCACGTGTCGCGCACGTGTGTGTAGTCCCATATACATCTTTCTGTGTACAGTGCTTCTAACTTTATAAAGACTTGGCCAAACTTGGCCAAATTTCTTATCATTTTGATGATTCAAGAACCTTGCAGTACATCTATGCTAGATGATTAACCTTTTCTGATCGATTTCACAACGTTTCTTTCACAATGCAATCGCATGACCATAACTGGTCTTTAGCTTTAAGTGTTTGTCATTCTGGGTTGAAGCAGACAATATCATGCTGATGATGAACTGACCCCTTTTCCAGAATGGAGTAAACTGATTGAAAACGTCAAAAGCTGCCATCTTTCGTTGAAATAAGTGAAATATCCACATTACCGGTAAGAGCAAGACTATATTTGTTCAGTTTACAGTATTCCTTTAGAGGAAGCGAGCTTCAAACACTGATAAAGAACTCTACCAAGGCAACAATAACAATACATCAGTAGATGGGCGAGTCCTAGATATCTTGTCCCAAAAGTTAAATACTGACCACATCTTAGACTTCAGTATCTGATGGCTGTATCAAGCTGACAGCCATACGAAAGCTTTACTCGGACAACAAAATCAAACAAAATGATGTTCAACATTCAATAATGCTATGAATGTATGGGACATATCTGTAACTTGGACTTCCCCCAAATGCAACCATGAAAAGAGACCACACATAGCTTACAGCAACTCAACTGATCTCCTGCTGCAGGAACTGAATACATGCAAGTGACGTCTTGAGATTATGGATCATACTTGAATTCTATGTACAGATCTCATTTACAACGTTTATAGCCCTCTTTTTAAATCTTAGACACAGACAAATTATGTGCTTTAATGATTTTTAAAAATTTTAATAGCACTGCAAAAGCATGACAACTGTAAGCAGATTTTGATAGGACATTGCTCCTGGAAGTCAGCAACAACTAGATAGATGGGTATGGGTTAGGATCAGGTATTGAGTTAGGTTTAGAGTTGGGGTTAGAGTTAGGGTTAGCGTTACGTATGTATATTGTTTGGTCGAGAGTTAAAATGTGGTATATCTATGCTCAAATGTATGAAATCCCCCTGGAGGAATTTGTCACTGGGGCATGTGTCCTACAAATATTCAAGTACACATATCTATGCAACGCCTCTTTCTACGTATGTTTTGATATTATCTATTATACTATTTATACATTTTGGTCTTCGATCATTGGCCTGCTTGGTATTAAACAAAAGCAATCCATAACAACGATAAACATAAACCCATCTAATATTTTGTGGTAGGCCTAGTAAACTAAAAACACCCCCTTTCTTACCTCGATGGTCTCATAAACATGACCTGGAAGACTTGGCTCATCCATCCCAAGTTGTGCAAGGGGTTTAAATGTTAACATTGTAGTGGCCATTGTCTCCTCTCACAAAATAAAATTACTAGTAGAATCCAATTGATGACCAATAGGATGTTCATGCAAGCGATCGACTCGAGCCTTCTCAAGTTTTCTATCAAAATAATTCTCAAATGTCCATTTGGCTACTCCTTTTGTTCAGCTTTCCAGAAATTAAACACTCATCTTGCTGACACAGATCCTAGAATGCTCACAACTTCACAAGGATCCAATTACAGCCAGCAACTGTCCTTTATGTATTAAAAGGCTGATTGTACATTCCAGTACAAAAGGTATTAATGTACATCAGTATGTCATAATCCACATCTAAACCAATCAAGTGTAAAGTACTTAGATGATTATGCAGGCACGAAGAGGGTGAATATTA